CAGTATGCGGTTCTATTAATAATAATAATAATAAACCTATAAAGCAAGATTAAATAATAAATCATAAGCGCGGACAAATAAAAATATTTGTTCGCAAAAAATACACCGCGTACTTCAAGCTAAAAGAGGGAGGATTTTAATTTGAATAATTAATAATTTTGAATAATATTGAAATAAAAATCGGTATGGCTCAAAGCGAAAGAACCAAAAAAGTAAAAAAATAAAGAAAAATTAAATTAATAAATGAAACGCTGAAATTGATTTTCGTCTGAAGTTCGATTTTCGAAAAAAATATTTTAACCAATCATATGCGATTTTTTTTTTTTTACAGTTATCGTCGACTTAATTTAAATTTTATATTATAGCATTTAAATTTCCGATTTTTTTTTTTATTTTTCTTTTTTTTTAAGGATGTTATTTTTCTTTTCTTTTTATCTTTTGCCGTTTTATTTCTTTTATTTTTTTTATAGGATTTTTGATCACATTCGGGCTGCTGCTTAATTTAGGTCTTTTTTTTTCTTACTTTTTTACTTTCTATCTTTAAAATTATAACGTAACAGTCACTTAAATGTCACATGCAGATCATTTTCATATTAAATCAATTTCGTATAACGATAAATCATTTTCTAAATCTTTTCTCAGCCCATATGTAAATCTTCCATAAAATGATCTGCGATAAAAATGAATTTGTCGAGGATGCCATAAAAAAAATGTACATTAATAATTTAGAAGATTTCTTTGTTTTTTTGAACTGAAAGTCTATTTAAATAAATGAAAAATATTTTATCAATTTATATAAATAGAAAAAAATAATTTATTCACGATTTTGCAACTCAACAGAATAGATTTTGAATCAAGCCTAGATTTTCAAATAGCTAGAATAAGCATAATCTAATTTAATATCGTTGGCCATTTGTTCACTCAATAAATGTGTGAACTTATTATCATGGCACCGTCAAAAAAAAAAAAAATATAAATATAAATTAAAAAAAATTCCCAATGTGTGAAACATTATTGATAAAAGACTTGAAAGTAAATAAATGATATCTTAAAAAACAAAAAAACAACAATAATAACTACAAACTATAAAGTTCATCAATTTTTTAAATATTTTTGAATATGAGAACTAAGATAAGAATTATCACAAATTATAACTACATCAATTTAAATACATTTTTGTGAACTTGTAAAATTTTCAATTGCGATTTCAATTGAAGTTATTTGTTTCTTAGATAGGGTTACAATATTTACATCCTGGAGGAGTTCCAGCGCATTCAAAACAATTAAATTTGCAAGAGCCACAAATAGCGGTGCATACATTGCTACATTCGCCAGTGCACGATTGGACCGAAGTGCAATGAGGTGTGTCATCGCATTCACTAGCAGTGCATTGGCAAGCTCCACAAATAAACTGACATTCACTGCCGCAAAGAGGAGCGCGTTTTGTCAAATCATGGCCAAAGGCTGGATTTAAAGGTTTTGCCAAAGAAGCGACAGCAAAGATAATTAACAAGATAGGAATGAATTTCATTTTATTTATTTATTTATTTTTTTTTTTTTTTTTTTGCTTTAAAGAAGATTTTCAAAATGGTATGAAACATGGATGTATTTATAATAAAAATAATCATCAACCAACCCTATTGATAACAAGATTATCTCTTTTATCAATATTAACAAAATACGACTCGAGAATCAATTCGACATAACCGGAATAACATCAACAAAAACAATTTATAAAGATAACCTAACAAAAACCAGTTATTTATTCGTTTGAACATCTAGGCTCAATAGTTAAACATTTTATGATTAAATGAGCCACTTCAATTTGGAAAAAGTAACCTTCTATTTAAGGCATAACCGAGTTACTCCTTATCTTTTTGTTCTTCCTTCATATTTGGCTTTGAATTTTCTTTTTTTATGTATT